CTCCGATTCGATTCGATTCGATTTCGATGGCCTCCGATTCCGATTCGATTCGTCTTCGGATTCCGATGTGAATGCCCATTCCTCAATGGAGGCCTCCTAGCCTGACGAGTTCTGCCGATTCGACTCCTCCTGGCTTGGCTGCCGATTTCTGCCGATCCGATTCACCTCGATCGCCGATCCGACTCATCGACTCGGTTCTGGGCCCTCCCTGGCGTCTTGGCCGCGCAGAAGCCACCTCGGGCAGTGCCTGGCAGACCCTGCGCGCGTGGAGGTGTGGACGACGACGCGCGAGGCCCCTCTGCAGCATGAAGCCACTCGTCCGACTCAGGGCAGTCCATTGTCCAATCGCCTCCCATCTGCACGCCCGAGATGGGTACAGAAAGAGTGGGTACGATGCCCAACAGCAGTTCCTGTTCATTTTGAACGGGACTCGCTGTCCACGCCGCAGCGGCCTCTGTCCATTCGAGACAGAAGGCCGCCTGCCCAACAGCAACCGCTATTGGTTTGGGACTACATTTGTTGTTGGGCATTGCACCCATTTTTTCCGTACCCATTTCGGGCGTCCAAATCCCAGCAGCCACGGAAGACCCCGGCGGCTATCCAACAGTCGGAGATCGGCCGAAAGCTCGTGCATAATCTCAGCGCCTGCAGCCCCAAGTCTATCATCAACGATGAGGTAAGCTGAGGTCATCGCGATTCCTTGTGGTCGGCCCAAGTGTACCATAGCAGCCGGCGCTCGTCCTGGAAATGTCCCAGCACCACAAGACGTGTGAGGATGCCAAAATTTGTATGCTTTCGCTTGCGCGACCACCGCGCTCAGATGTGACCGCGAGAATCCACGCTCCACGGTGCCCCTTCTTCGTCACGCTGGATAGTAGATCTCCCAATCGAGCATCGCGAGCATGGTGTTCTTGATCCAAGAGGATGTTATGTGTGTAGCCGGGAGTGCCGATAAGCTCCACTAGCGGTCCGCGTGGAGATGTATTCATTGTAACCACACCGCCCGTCGGACACTGCCTGTGAACTCCCGCAGCACTCCCGGCCGATTCTGAACCAACTTGTTCTTGATAACCACATTGGGTAAATGGTTTGAACGGGGGCGGTCATTCTGCTCAGCTTGCTGGCGGAGGCGTTCGGTTGATGTTTGCAATAAAGCACCTCCGGCTTGACCTGTTGTCAAAGATGGCCCAGAATTCGAAGGGGCCGAAGCCCGCGTAGCAGACTGAGACCATGGCGATGTATAGTCTGCCAGCTCAGAACGAACCTGATCACCGACCCCACGAGCACCACTAGCATTGCCTGCGCGCGCAGCCTTGGCCCGACGGCCAGGCCGAGGTGCACTCACACCTGCGCCCGAGGCCTTCGGAGCACCCGTGCTCGTCGTCAGACTGTTCGCGGTCTGCTCTCGAAGGAGCTCCCGCAGGGCCCCGACGCTTGTGATGAGCTCCGCCCCGTCTCCAGCAGCGTGCCCAGACGAAGGTGGCCCGCTTGCGGGAGCACTGATGATGAAAAGTCCGCATGGCAACGCTGCATCGCGCTACCTGGCCATACGCAGCCCAACAATACGAGGAACGTCATTCGATGCGGCGGTCCGAGCCTTCTTTGCGCACCCGCCAGCGGCCTCTCCCATGCGCCTGATGGCCGACCAAAACCCGGCATCAGCTGCGGGGGGTTCGGTTCCAAGCATGGCGCGAGATTTTTGGAAGGTCGGCGAGGTCGCCAACGCCGGCTGGCGCTGGCTTGGCGCGGGCACCTGTAGAAACCGACGCGCCTGCGCCTTCGAAGGGCTTGGCCTCTGCAGCCTTGCCCTTGCTCTTGTTCTTGCCCTTTGCCTCGGCAGCTTCTGTGGCGGCCGTCTTGTCGAGCATTCGCAACTTATCGAAGTTCTGCTGGGCACTGGTGGCGAGCGTCTCGTCTGCTCGGATTGGCTGCGGCATCCTGCGAAACCCACCCGCTGAGAGGTCCAAGGCAGGGATGCGGTGGGGGCGTTCGATGAGGAGTGTGCACGGGAGGCTTCAGACCCTGAAGGTTTCCTTATCGGATGAGGGCGGCGGTGATATCCACTGCCGAGCCTCGATTGGCATTCCATAGGGGAACAAAAAGTGGCATAAACATAAAAACTTGGAGGCCCGCGCGGATTCCTCGGATCGGCGCTGGACCCCCCTCCCTGGCGCGCGGAGCGCGCCAGGGGGGGCCCGGGGGGGCCCCAGCGCCGATCCGAGGAATCCGCGCGGACCTCCGAGTTGTTATGTTTTTGCCACTTTTTGCTCCCCTACTCCACTGGCTTCCAGACCCTGGACTCCTTGTCGAAGGTTTCCTCGCCCACTGCCATCACCGTGGCGGCGCGCACGGAGCGCGCGCCCGTCTCGGGCCGAGGCGCCGCCCCGGCGCGCGGCGGCCCGACGGGCCGCTCTGGCCTCTCCGCCAGCGCTTCGGGCACGCCCACCGAAGCCTTCCCTCGGGAGGGGAAAGAGCACACAGACACGCAGACACGATGAGTCGTCGATCCTCCAGAAAAAAAGGGGGGAAAAATGATGGGAAGTGGGGGGGCAAGGCACAAACCCAGAGCATGCGGGAAGCTAGGGGGAATCCTGTTATTTGTGTGTATTTATATTTGTGTGTCCCGGGGCCCCTTCGTTCTCGGCCACACTGATGGACTCCGCCAGCTGGGCCGCCTGCGCTTGGAGCCTGTCGAGGGCCTGCCGGTGGCGGTCCTGCTTCTTCCCGAGCGCCATGCGCCTGCTACTACATTTCAGTCGGGCCTGTCCCCCTACAGTAGGAGTATTCAAACATAGTCATACAATAGTCTGGGGGCAAAACAACAAATGTTTGAACATGTTTCTGCTATTTTTGAGGCATTTGTTATTTTTCGTCCAAAAGCGGCCTGTAGGGGGACAGGCCCGACTTAATACTACATCAATGCATCGGCCTGTCAGACAGGATCTTTGCTCGCAGCCGATCCTGCTCGGCCGCAAGCGCCTTGGCGCCGCACCGCCAGGCGCGGGACCGCGGTGGTGTCGCCAATGGCCTCGAGGGCCACGGCGACCTGCTCGAGGGCGAGCTTGTCGTCGCCGTCCGCCGAGGAGTCGACATCCGTGGCCGTCTGGGGGTCAGCCGCATTCTTGGACACCGACGCCAGCTCCTCCTGGAGCTTCGCGATCTCTCGGTCCTACGCCTTGGCGATCTTCAACGAAGCTTTGCGGTCCGCGTCCATCGTGCCGCTGCGGGACTTGGAGCTGCTTGAGATCGTAGAACGCGGATCTCTCATCCACGTTTCAGCATCGGCATATTTTGGCGTCAGCGTGGTTCCACCAGCGTTCTTCCGTCGTCCTGTGGCGGCATCACTTCCAAAGCCACGGAATTGTTTTCGAGAGACGCTGCCATTGGAAGCCATTCATAGATGTGAAAGGTCGAGCAATGGGTCGCCAGAAGCCCTATCGGTACTGGCTGAAAGAACTGTCGATCGCAAAGATCTGGCCCTGCCGCGGACCAGCGCGTATTCACTTCCAGGTGCAGGGGCAAGAGGAGAGAGGAGGAGAAGGCAGGGGGAGGAGGAAGAGGAGGGGAAGGATGCTGAGGACGAGGAGGATCACTGCAAACCCACGACGCATCAACGGTGTTGCAACACACCCTCCCTCCCAAGTACCCTCTTCACAGGCCCCGACAATAATGCAGGGCCATTGCGGGAAGTGCCTCTTTGGAGGGCAACGTCTGACCATTCCCAATCATGGCAAAACAACCGTTAGTGGGACCGCAGCGCCGCGAATCAGCACGATTGTTGCGCCCTGGCAACCGTAACTCGGACCAGATCATCACTCCTAGGGTATCAGCACCCCGAATCGACGCCAGCGTTGTGCTTTGACAGCCGTAAGTCGTGCCAGAACGCCGATCCTGGAAGTGTTGCAAGCTTTTCAGGCGATTGTGCGCGGCGCGCGGCGCTGAGGCACGAGCCACATTTCGAACATCACCCGCCCTCCATGCGCGGACGTCTCGCCAAGTGTTAGGACACATGTGCGCAGCGCTGAAGCGAGAGCCGCATTGTGCGAACTACCCGCCTTCCACCCTCAATGCTTCTCCAAGTCTTTGAGGCGAGTGCGCGAGGCGCGTGGGCGAGAACCACATTTTGAATGCGGGCCGAACTCCATTTGTGAAACTGTTGAGCATTTGAAGCTTCGGGATCATACTTTGCGAGAAAGCCTCAGGTGAAACGCGCGGGCCGCCGTACCGACACGTCTGATGATGCGAGATGGAGGAGTAAGTTATGCGGCAAAAGGATGTAGTAGAAGGAAGATCGAAGAGGAAGCAGAGGATGATGATGATGATGATGATGATGCTGATGATGATGATGATGATGTTGGCGGTGATGATGATGATGATGATGATGATGATGCTGATGACGATGATTATGATGCCGATGGTGATGTATGATGGTGATGAGGATGCTGATGGTGATGCAGCTGCTGATGCTAATGATGGTGACGACGATGATGATGGTGATGTTGTTGATGATGATGCTGTTGTTGTTGTTGATGCTGCTGACGATGACGATGACGACGATGACGATGGTGATGATGATGCTGATGACGACGACGATGATAATGTTGATGATGATGACGATGATGATGATGGTGACGACGACGGTGATGATGACGATGCTGATGCTGATGATGATGGTGGTGATGATGATGATGATGATGATGATAATGGTGGTGGTGGTGGTGAGGAGGAGGAGGAGCAGGAGGAGGAGCAGGAGGAGATGAGGAAACGGCAGACGGATGATGATGATGATGATGATGATGATGATGATGATGATGATGATGATGATGATGATGATGATGATGATGATGATGATGATGATGATGATGATGATGGTGGTCATGATGAGGAGGAGGAGGAGGAGGAGGAGGAGGAGGAGGAGGAGGAGGAGGCGGAGCAAGGAACAGCAGGCGACAGAAGGGCCCGGCCCGGGGCAGCCCTCCGCGCCCCGCCCCGTCCCGAAGGCAGGAGGCCTCCTTGCGGGACGAGAGGCGGCGCGGCGAGGAGCTGGCGGCGCGCCTCAGGCCTCGGGGGCCGGCAGCCGGGCTGCCCTCCCCTGGAGTGAGGAGGATCAGGCAGTGGCGAAGCGTCTCAGCTCGCATATAGGCCTACCACACAATGTTCCAAGGACCTTCTGTGGTCTGCACGAAATGTTATCAGAGCACTTCTGGTCAGGGCTGTCTCTTCTGAACACATCGGGTTCATGTTCTAAGACCATGCTTTTGTTTTCAGAACATTTGTGGGTTCTGAGAACATGTCGTGGAAGGCCTATAGGAACGCCCGGACGGTCGGTCCCTGCTCAAGAAGAGGAGGAGGAGGAGGAGGAGGAGGAGGAGGAGGAGGAGGAGGAGGAGGAGGAGGAGGAGGAGGAGGACCAATGTAAACCCAGGACCCACCCACGCTACTGGAAGAACAGCCTCCCTCCATGCTTCTCGAATGCTCATTTGGAAGACAATCTTTGGAACATCTCGAATTGTACCAGAACGCCATTCTCGGAACTTCGACGCCGCGAATCACCGCTACTGTTGCGTCTTGACGATCCTGTAGAGGAGCTCGCGAAGGAGGCAGCCCGCCCTGCTGCGCGTGCACCCCAGGCTGACAGAGTCAGGATCGCTCGAATAGATGTCAAGGCGAGGCTCGTCGGGAAGCGCGTGCTCCGCGCAGGCCTCGGTTCAATCGCTGCTGCTCAGTCCAGGCGCGATTCGGACGAAGGTCACAAGCTTGCGCCTCGCATTCCCCGTCCTCATCCCATTGCCGTTGCACGCTTCGCGTCCGCGAACGTCCTGACCGAAAGTGGTGGCTGTTGTAGCGCGTGCAAAGGCTCGGCGATCAAAGCGCCTTTGCCCGACTGGCTAAACAGTGAGCGCTTCCAACTCCAATCCGTGGATGGATTGTTATCCCGCTTACCCCGAGGACGAAGAATGCACTCAGGAAGGGGGGTGGGTCGATCCCTCACACGCCTTCATCTGCCGCAGTTGTTTGAAGATCTAGCATTGTGTTGCATGCGTTTTTTTCTTGGGCGGCCAGGCCCAGCTCAGGGGCATACGCACGCCGTGCACGTTACCGATCTCCAAGACCCGGCGACAATATTTCGATCGGATTTCGAGGGCCTTGCACCCCAAGCAAAGCTGGCGTCTGAGCTCAGCCTTTTTTATTTCTTCGGGATGGCAGAAATCCTGGAAATCATCTTCCTCCTCCCCCTCCTCCTCCTCCTCCTCCTCCTCCTCCTCCTCCTCCTCCTCCTCCTCCTCCTCCTCCTCCTCCTCCTCCTCCTCCTCCTCCTCCTCCTCCTCCTCCTCCTCTCTCTCTCTCTCTCTCTTCCTCTCTCTCTCTTCCCCCACCCCCTTTCCCCCTCTACCCACCTCCTCCCTCATCCCTCCCTCCCACCCTCCCCCTCCTTCGCCCCATTATCTTTTTTCCTCCTGCTCATTATCCTCCTTCCTCCTTCCGCATTCTCCTCCTCGTCAATCTCCATTTCCTCCTCCTCCTCCTCTTCCTCCTCCTCCTCCTGCTCCCCCTCCCCCTCCACTCGTCGTCCTACTTTGCCTCCTCCTTCTTCTTCCTCCTCTTCCTCGTTCTGCCTGCACCATCCCCCACGCCTCCTCCTCCTCCTCCTCCTCCTCCTCCTCCTCCTCCTCCTCCCCTTCCTCCTCCTCCTCCTCCCTCCGCCTTCTCCTCCTCCTCGTCCTCCTCCTCCTCCGCCTCCTCCTCCTCTTCCGCGTGCTTCGGAGACGCGTACCCCATTCCAGAAAGGGAAGGCCACCGGAAGCGTGCGAAAGTAAGAGTGCACCACGAAGAAATAACAATTGTTTGAGGTTCAGGGTTTGCGGGATCGGACGTTCGCCATGCTGTGCGGCTTTCGCTTCCGGGGCAATGCCTCGAGTCCGTATCCTGCGTTGCAGCAATACCCTTGGCCATCCAGACGACTTCGGTACTCCAGGTGACCGTCCAGGGCTCCTCCCTCCTCCTGGTCTCCTCCCTTCCTCTCGTCTCACGGGAGCCAGCCGGCGCCCGGGCGTGCGCTGTAAAGGCGGCGGGCTGCGCAAAGACAGCCCCCAGGCAGTTTATCCTCATCCTCTCAGTCTCTTCTCCTCCTCCTCTTCCTGCTTCTCCTCCTCCTCCTCCTCCTCCTCTTCCTGCTCCTCCTCATCCTCCTTCTTCTCCTCCATTCCTTTTCCTTACAAACAACTTCTGATCCTGGCTGGCCTCGACAGGCCCCGCACCCCAAGTACGCCGCCGGAGGCGGCGGCGGCGCGTCGAGGCTAGCCAGGGGGTCTACCTAGGGGGGCTCCCTGCGTTTAGTGCGAAGCCTCACCAGGCGTGCCCGCGAGTGTTTTTGTTCCCGGAAAGGGCTCCAGACCAGGGTTCTCTTTTAGTATTGTTACCCCCGGCTTCGACTTGAAGGAGGCTGGCGGAATGATTTTGCGAGAAATGACGAGTTGGAAGGAGGCCGGCGTTATTAGTTTTGAGGACGTCTCAGGCGAAACGCTTGTTTACCAGAATTTGTTGAGGATGTCTCGAACGAAACGCTGGTTTTGAAGAGTTGGGGGATGTCTCGAGCGGGGGCCTCGTGGGGGGCCAGAATTCAGAGGATGTCTCAGGCTTGATGCTTGTTTTCACGTCCCGCTCGCAGGAAGTCCGAGGATGTCTGGCGCGTGCCGCGTCCCTCGCGCAGGAAGTTCGAGGATGTCTCGACTAATTCGTTTGTTTTTCCCGTATTTCCTTGGCCACACAGGGGGGTATCGAACATGCTCTGCCCGAGCTGGAACCACGTCGCTTCACGTGTCCAGGGCACCCAGGTGGGTATCTAACATGGTGGTCCCGAGCTGGTACCACGTTTTCCCGCGTCCTGGCCACACAGATGGGTATCTAACATGGTGGTCCCGAGCTGGAGCCACGTGTTTTCACATGTACAGGCCACCCAGGGGGGTATCTAACAGGTTGGTCCCGTGTTTGCCTTGTCGAGGCCACCCAGGGGGTGTCTAAGATGGTGGTCCCGCGCTGGAACCACGTGTTTTCACGTGCCCAGGTCGCCCAGAGGGTGTATCTAATATGGTGGCCCCGCGCTGGAACCGCATGTTTTCACCTGTTCACGCCACCCAGGGGGTATCTAACATGGTGGTCCTGAGCTGGAACCGCGTGCTTTTACGTGTCCAAGCCATCCATGAGGTATCTAACATGGTGGTCCCGAGCTGGAACCACGTGTTTTCACGTGCCCAGGCCACCCAGGGGGTATCTAACATGGTGGTCCCGCGCTGGAACCACGTGTTTTCACGTGTGCAGGCCACCCAGGTGAGTATCTAACATGGTGGTCCCGAGCTGGAACCGCGTGTTTTCAAGTGTCCACGCCACTCAGGGGGTATCTAACATGGTGGCCCTGAACTGGAACCACGTGTTTTCACGTGTGCAGGCCACCCAGGTGAGTATCTAACATGGGCCTCCTGGATTCTTCCTGGGCCTCGGAACGTAACGTCGAGAGTTCATTTGTATGTGGTATCGATTTGTTTACTTTTTGGCCTCCAGGCGCCTCTGGGCGTTCCTGGGCTCTCCTGCGCTCCACACGACCGCATGTTAGATATCTCCCCTTGGTGGGCTGGACCATGTGTTCTTACGTGTGCAGGCCAGCCAGGGGGGTATCTAACATGGTGGTCCCGAGCTGGAGCCATATGTTTTTACGTGTCCAGGCTACCCAGGGGGATACCTAACATGGTTGTCTCGAGCTTGAACCACGTGTTTTTACATATCCAGGCCACCCAGGGGGGTATCTAACCTGATTGTTCGGAGCAAGGACCACGTATTGTAACGAGTTCAGGCTATTCAGGTGTGTATATAGCATGGTTTCCCGAGCTGGCACCATGTGTTTTTAGGTGTCCAGGCCATCCAGGGGGGATATCAAACATGGTTGCCCCGAGCAAGGACCACGCATTTTAACGTTCCGTAGCGCGTCCCCTCGGCACGTCCCGCGGTGCGTCCCCGTGGCACGTCCACTGGCACGTCGCCTGGCGCGTCCCTTGGGACGTTCAGCGGCGCGTCCTCCTGGCATGTTCCCCTGTCAATTAGCTCTGGGGCAGCTACTATGTGGTGAGGCAGCTCGAGCTTAAGATCCAGATCAGTTCGGTCTGGACTCGGATGCAACGGAGGACTCGATCCATAACTCTATAGAGCACAATCGCGGCATGGCACGTCGCAGATCAGCACAGCGCAGCACAGCACAGCCCTCGGCACGGTACATCAAGATCGATACAATCAGCATTGCAACCTGGCACGTTCCGTGGCGCGTCCCATGGCGAGTCCCCCTGGCACGTCGCGCGGCGCGTCCCCTGGCACGTCCCGTGGCATGTCCAGTGGCACGTTCCGTAGTGCGTCCCCTCGGCACGTCTCGCGGTGCGTCCCCGTGGCACGTCCCCTGGCACGTCGCCTGGCGTGTCCCTTGGGACGTTCAGCGGCGCGTCCTCCTGGCATGTTCCCCTGTCAATTAGCTCTGGGGCAGCTACTATGTGCTGAGGCAGCTCGGGCTTAAGATCCAGATCAGTTCGGTCAGGACTCGGATGCAAAGGAGGACTCGATCCACAACGCTATAGAGCACAATCGCGGCACGGCACATCGCAGCACCGCACAGCCCTCGGCACGGTACATCAAGATCGATACACTCAACATTACGTTTGCCAGTCGCCCAATCAGGTGTTTTTAAAGCGTTGCCATGCCTTACATGTCTATATTCCTTTCCGGGTTCGTGGGTCGATCATGTTCCCCGATCCGTTGGGCCACGGGCGACGCGGCAGCGGACGCTACAGACACTTGTGTCTGGAGCGACCACAGCAGGAGGAGCAGGAAGAGCGGGAGGAGAGGGAGGAGGAGGAGGAGGAGGAGGAGGAGGAGCAGGAGCAGGAGGAGGAGGACGACGAGGAGCAGGAGGAGGAGCAGTAGGAGCTGGAGCGGCGGCCGAGGAGGACGAGGAACAGCGGAGGAAAGCGGAGGAAAAAACGGAGGAGGAGGAGGAGGAGGAGGAGGAGGAGGAGGAGGAGGGAGGAGGAGGAGAGGTGGAGGAGGAGGAGGAGGAGGAGGAGGAGGAGGAGGAGGACGACGACGAGGTGTGGATTGCAGTGTTTTGCCTGATGCCTCATGTGTGCGCGTGTGTATGCATATTGCCTCGCCGCCTCTCCGTCCTGGTTCTTATGAGTATGGTTGATTCTGAAGAGTCAGAGCGCGGGTGCACGCTCGTGCAAGGAGATTGCTGCATGGATAGATAGGTTATCGAGTGGAAAAGGCTCCAGGGTGTGCCTGTGGCACCAGGGTGTGCCTCGAGAGTTTGGGATGTGCATTGGTCTTGAACCAACGTCGAATATTCCAGCGAGGACATGGCGCACGAGATTGCTTTAAGTGGACAGGCTGGACAGTGGAGGCGTTTCTCGGGCAACGGGGATGATGATGCGGCGTCGGAGTACAAAAGTTGGCGACGATGGATCAGCGCGAAGCTGGCCGTTGAGGTTCGACGTGGGCTTTTCCTGGAGGCGTTCGGCCTTCCGGTGCTGACGCTCCTCGACGATGAGGTGGAGAGGGCATGCGAACATATGGAGCTGACCGATCCGGGGCAGGAGGGAGGTGCACAATGTATTTTCCAGGCCCTGGACGAGAGATTTCCGGATAAAGGGGCCAGCGGCAGGATTGGCGACGCGTTGGGGAATGTGTTCGGACTTGCCATCGATCGTGGAGAGACTTCTTCAGCGCATGCTGGGCGAGCATGCGCGGTCTTTGCGACGGCCAGGAAAGAACAGTGGAGTCCCCAGCGGTGGCGCAAGGCCTCCTTCTTCTGAAGGGAGTGCGACTTGGCATGGAGAGGCGAGCAGTCGTTCTGGCCGCAAATCAACGACAATGTGGTTTCGACAGGATCCTGGCCACAAATCGGACGGCATATCTGAAGCATGTGCCGACGTCGCGGGTACAGGAGCCACCGCTTGTGATGAAAAGTCGGCTGTGTCACTCTCAGAGGCAAAGCCATCCGTGAACGAAGCGTTGGAGGCTGAAATCAACGAGCTGCTGGAGGAGGAGGACCCGATCGATGAGGAGGACGCGATCGACGCGTTAGCTACTTGGAAGGAGACGAGGACGGCGATGGCCAGGGAGAAGCTTCGGAGAGGATTGCCAAACATGGACTCGGCCAAGTTCAGGCGACTGAAGGACAAGGCGCGGTGCTTCCTGCGCCGAGACATCGGCCACTTCAGCCGGGGCTGCCCCGAGCGCGGGAAGTCCAGAATCGCGAACCAACCGGATGGCCCCGAGCACCAGAGCGCTATGAAGCGGCCGGGCCAGCAATGCATTGCCTAGGCCCTGATGGCCCAGATGACCACGCAGCAGGACGACCCGTGGTCGGATGTGGACGTGCTCTTGCCATCGTGGTCGATGGGCGGCAAGGCTAACTCATCGGATAGCAAAGTTGACCAGTGAGGTTCCGACGTCTGGCGCACGAGAGGCGCGAGGTGGAGCAGGACGTCGACGCCGACGACATCGATGAGGCCGAGGGCGAGGGTGGCACGATGCAGGCGAAGGTCGGCTGCAGTATGGCGCAAGGTGAAGGGAGCCATCGCGGGGAAACAGTCCCCCTATCGCTGGCGACCAGGTATGTGCGCGGGACCTTTCCGAGGGCATTGCTGGGCGGCGCCCCTTGGGAGCCCGGCGAAAACGCCCCCGAAACATTTGCGGGGGGCTACTCGGGAGGAGAGGGCGGCATGGGGATTTGCGGGGCAGAGCTGCGGACGGCTGCGGTACATCTGGACCACCTCTGGCGGTATTTTGATGATATCACCAGCAGGCCCCTGGGCTCCCAGAGGGAGGGGGTGGCGGCGGGCGACAGATCGCGGGCTGTTCCTGGACCAGCAGGGGAAAATCCAACACCGGCGACGCCGACTCCACCGACCTCGCCGACCGGACCGACTCAAGAAACACCACCCAGCGAACCGAATCCGACAGCGGCCCCGCGCAGGCAACCGCTCCCGCACCCCAATCACGTTCCAGCTGGGGATCCAGCTCGCCAGATGGGATCGCGCCGAGCGCTTTCTGGGTCGACCAGGCCCGACCTCATTCGCCTTGCTGAGGAGCCAGTCGAGCCGCGGCCGCCCAGGCAGCCCCGTCTGGAGCCACATCCGGGCCCCATCCGATTCCAACATGCGTGTGCCTCAACCATCCGACCCCGGTGCTGCGACGCTGCTTGCCTGTGGCGCGGCGGCGTGCGATGGGGGCCAACTTGGCCCCGATTCTGGCAGTCGCTGAGACCGAGGTCCCGCTGCCCCGCAGGAGGGGGGAGGCGCGCGAAAAGGATCTGAAGTGGCAGACGGAGCAGGGGAGGGGACAAGTGGAGGAGGCGCTTCAGAAGGAGCTTCGGGGGCTCATCCTGGATCAGAAGGCCTGGGAAGCTCGCCTGATAGAGGAACCGCGTCGGCTTCGCTTGGAGATCCCGGATCGCATCGTGCCATCGCGACCAGCGCTGACCTTGGAAACCGAGGTCGACTGAAATGCAGTGTTACGACGCGCCGACTCACAGTGGAGGTATTCAAGGATACGGGCGCGCTCGATATGTTCAGGGCTGAACAGACCCGAAATCCGATTCTCTCTGCTGCCGGCCAACAGACTGAGTTGCAATTGGTGGCGTTTGCTTGCTTCCCGTTGGTCTTGGGGGGCGTCCGTGGGGCATTGTGGGCAGCCGATCATGTGGAGCGACCCAGAGGCCCCGTGTTTGTTGTCGCTGCTGGGAAGCATGCTCCAACTGGGGCGGCATCCTGCCCGGGCGCGCGAGCTCGTGAACGACCGCGGTGGGGCGGGCCAACCACGGGGGCGGTTCTCGATATGTAAACGCGATGTCAAGGAGATTGGCTTCGTGGCCCATTTTCTTGATCCGCGTCTGTTGATGCTTTTCGAGCCTGCGCTGCCGGGGCAGATGGCGCCGACAAAAACGATGCACGTGCCGATTGGGTGCTCTGGGGGGCAACTGGGGGCGCGCGCGTAGGCGACGCGGTCGGGGCAGGACGAGGAAACGGGTGGGCGACGGCAATCGGCAAATTGAAACAACGATTTCCCCCGAGAGAATGGAGGCGCGGTCCCGGGGAGTTCACGGAGTCTCGTTTACAACCAGTCCCAGACGCGGCGATTACCCAGTCTCGGACAAGATACGCCGAGACCATGGGGCCCGCGACACTTTGTCGATTTGCGGCGAATCAGAGCAGGGCTCCATCGATGGATACGTCCGCGCTCGTCGCGATAAATCAGGCTGGCAAGGCCTGCCCTCTCGTGCCAGGTCATCAAGAACCAGCAATAGCTACCGCGCCCGGGTGCGAAGGAGATGAATGATGCGACCATGCTAGTGCGCGGAGCTCGTCAGCGCGAGGATCGTACTATTCTGTGCTGTTCAATTCCAGGAGTTCCGGGCGATGATCCACATTGACTTCGCCAAAGGAGTTCGAGCGGGGTCTCGGCCCACCAGGCCAATTATGATGCCCATTCTGCCGCCAGGCGTTCAGAGCATCCAGATGGTTTCTCAGCGGCGGGAGATCTTCGGACTGCGCGCAGCCTCCCCCAGAGCCTGACGGATGCGGAGACAGGGTGCCCTCGCGCGATGAGCTGCGCGACTGCGTCGACGAGGATGGTGGTGAAGGTCCCAGCTGGAGTGCTCGACAGCGGATTTAAACAGCAGTCGAATCCGACGGTAAGGCTGAGCTACCACAACAGTACCAACTACATCCAGGTGGTGTGCACGGCGGCCATTGAGCATGCCATGGTGAGTGCGATCTCCGAGCTAGAGCAGAACTACGTCCTGGAATCTGGAGATGCCGAGTGGCAGCGAGCAGCTTGGCATGGTGAGGGGGCTTCGTCCAAGGGCAGTCGCAGGGCAGGGCACGATGCAGAGCAGTGTTGCGAAGCAGGAGGAGGAGGGCGTTGGCCAACGGTCCCAGATCAGGACCCAGCATCTCAGAAGGCCATCGTCCTCGCTCCAGTTTCCACCGCGTGCAGCTTGTCGAACTATCCAGACCAGCGGGACGTGCTGCTGAAGGTGATGAGAGAGTCTTTCGGTCTGCACTTGACGGCCATGCAGGCGGAGGCCCAGTCCTATGACGTCTAGTTTCCGAACCGGGAGCAGGCGACAGGAGACCAGGATCGAAGGTTGAGGCGGACTCACTGCAACAGGCAGTTCGAAGTTTTAGTGCATGTGGTTTGCCGTGTTTTGCTAAATGCTTCATGTGTGCGCGCGTGTGTATATTGCCTCGCCGCCTCGCCGTCCCGGCTCAGACCAATCTAGTTGACTATCAGGAGTCAGAGCGCGGGAACACGATCGTGGAAGGAAGTAGCTGCATCGAGTGGAAAAGTAACCGCGATGTGCCTCGAGAGCTTGGGATTTGTAGGAGGAGGTCGACGACGAAGACGACGACGTGGAGGAGGAGGAGGAGGAGGAGGAGGAGGAGGAGGAGGAGGAGGAAGAAAAATGGAAGAGGAACGGCGGAGGAGGAAGAGCAGAGGAGGAAAAGGAGGAGGAGGAGGAGGAGGAAGCGGAGGCGGAGGCGGAGGCGGAGGAGGTGGAGTTTCTTACTGTCCCGACCCTGGCCGAGGGACGAGGAGGCCCAGTGGCAGTCCCGCCTCGCCATCGAGGCCCGCCAGAAGGCGGCCGCGGACGTCCGCGCGGGGGAGGAGAGCCGCCGCAGGGCGGAGCTGGAGGCGGGGCTGCAGGAGCCGCGCGTGCCTGCTGGAAGCCCCAGCGGGTGTCCCCAGATGGCCCCTGGCTGCCCAGGGCCCTCGATCTGATTTCCGAAGTCCCCGATTCTTCCTGGTCTTGTCTTGCCCCCGTGCTGGCCTCGTCTTGCCCGAGGGTCGAGGGCACAGCTTGGCAGTGTCAACGCCTCAGCTCCGCACTGGCACCCCTTCCCGACTCAGGGGCCACGGTACAGGGGGGGATAGGCACAGGGGGGGACGCATTGGCTC